GGCTCCTCGGCGCGGGCGGGACCCCGGCGGCCCCGGGCCGCCCTTTGGTGTTCCGGTCTCGCCTCCGGGAGTCCCTGGGAAACCCCGGACTGAACCACCTCAGCTGGCCAGGGCCGGGGGTCCCGGGCGGAATCTGGATCCAGCCTCGCCCGCCGCACCGCATTGCGTCTCCCTGGCCGAGACGAAGCTGGCGCGCCCCCTGTAGGCCGAGGGCTGGCACGGTGCGAGCTGCCGTCTGGGGGACCCGGGCACCCTGGGGACAGGAGTCCGGGGACAGCCGGTGTTTACCTAATCTGGGTGGACGGCGGTGTGGCCCTAGGCCCGGCGCCCGCCTGCCCTCCCCTGCCTTCACAGGCGGCAGGCACTACCATGGCCACGATGGTGCTTCCGCGGGAGGAGAAGCTGAGCCAAGATGAAATCGTGTTAGGCACCAAGGCTGTCATCCAGGGACTGGAGACTCTACGCGGAGAGCATCGTGCCCTACTGGCTCCCCTGGCCTCTCATGAAGGAGGCGGCGGCGGCGGAGGCGGCGGCGAGGCTGAGCCAGGCTCACAGGAGCGCTGCATCCTCCTGCGCCGCTCTCTGGAAGCCATCGAGCTGGGGCTGGGGGAGGCTCAGGTAGGTCAGTCTGGAGCACTGAGCTGGGAGGTCATCAGAGGAGTCCCGGTAACTGTATAGAAACAGGATCTGAGCTGGGAACCACCTAGCCCTTGGAAGCCCATGTTAGAGCCAAAATAAATACATTAAAGAAAAGAAAGCGTTTTGGAGGTTTCCCAGTCCTGCCCCAGGAGACCTCGAGCACTGGCACTCCCACACAGAGCTCCGGGCCCCACTGCACCCCCGCCCCCTGCTCAACAGGAGACCAAATAGCCTCGAACAGGAAGGGCATTCTTAAAGAAATACTCCCCTACAACTCACTCATCCATTCATTCGTTAAACTAACTTATCAAATGTCTGCTATGTGCTAAGCAGTGTGTTCATGCTAGGGAAGCAGGATCCAACGAGATAAAGTGAGTGATAAACAAGATTCCTGCCCTCAACAGATGTGGTAATACACTTGTGTAATCTTAGCACTCGGGACAATGAGGCAGAACAAGAGTTAGATGCAGCCTAGGCTACACTGTGAAATGTTACCTTAAAGTCAGGGAGGTGGGGAGAGAAAAGATGCATATGGAAAGGTCCTGAGGTGGAAGTGAGCCACTAGAGCTTCATGGCACAGGGAAGAGGAACAGAAGGCAGGAACCAGTTCATGGGGTTTATTCTCAGGAAATTAGGTATCCTTTTCTGGAAGACTCTGAAACAGGAAGGTGACATAGTTAGTCTAACTTGGGTTTTAAAAGCTTCCTTTGTGAGATTTGGAGCATAAAGGTTAGTGAGTTACAGATGGAAGCAGGTAGCGAGTGGTGAAGCAGCCACTGCATGAATTCAGCTGAGAGATGGCAACTTGGACTAACTTGATAGCCATGAGTGGCAAGAAGGGAATCAGTTTCTAGGTTGTTTTGGAGGTAGGCCCAGCAGGACGTGGGAATGAAGTAAGGAGAGAAAAGGAGGACAGCATAACTTCCCTGACTTGTGCTTTATGCAAAGTCAAGGATGAGAGAACGGAGTGGTCCAGTTCTGTTTGGGGCTGCAGAGACTATGTGCAGAATGAGATATCCAGGCGGACACTGGGCTGGAAAGAGTCTCCATGGAAAAAGCTTTGTTCTCAGATCTTGACAGAGCCACTGGCTGGGCATATTTCTATCATTTAACGCTAGTAGTTTTGAAAATATCTGTCACTTAAGATATTGGCTAATCAACTAGAGATTGTAGAGTCCTAGACTGCTGGGCCTTTTGGAAGGCCACTACACTGCAGGTGTGGGGAACAGGACAGCATGGAGCATGCTGACAGTGAAGCCCAGTGTATAGTTGGAGAAGAACAAAGGGCATGACTAGAAAGAGGAAGAAATGACCCTGCAACCTGGATTCCATGTGGAGCCCATCCATGCCAAGGCTCTAAGACAAGAAGAGGTTGAAAGCTCAGGAGGGGAATCAGCAGTACAGAAGGCAGAGGATGCTGGATGCTAGGGTGTCTTTCAGTAGCCTTTTGCCCATGTATGGTTCTTCAAGTAACTGCTAGCCCTATCTGGGTGGCATAATGGCTGTGGCTTCCCCAGGGGAGAGAGATTCTGGGAGCTCAGGGATCTCTTCACTCATGGCTCTCAGGTTAATCTAACCTGAGTTTGAGCTCTGGACTGTGGTCTGTTTGGGACCTGGTGGGGAGTCTTCCTTGAGGGTGGGAGAACTCGTAGGCCCAGCACCCCTTCCCAAGCAGGGCCAGGCCTGATTTCTCACTCATCCCTGGAGGCCCAGGCTGGGGTTTCAGGCTGAGGGGTAGCCAGGGCTCTGATGTTCATCTGGCTGGTTGCACAGGTAATCCTGGCACTATCAAGCCACCTGGGGGCTGTGGAGTCAGAGAAGCAGAAGCTGCGGGCTCAGGTGCGGCGCCTGGTGCAAGAGAACCAGTGGCTACGTGAGGAGCTGGCGGGGACGCAGCAGAAGCTGCAGCGCAGTGAGCAGGCAGTGGCCCAGCTGGAGGAGGAGAAGCAGCACCTGCTGTTTATGAGCCAGATTCGCAAGCTGGATGAGGATGCTTCACCAAATGTGAGCCCACCCTAGCCAGAGGCCCGGGGTGGTGGGGAGCACTTAATCCCACCTGGTCCACAGGTCATCTGTGTCACTTTTCTTGACACCCTGTCTTCCTTCCCAGGAGGAGAAGAGTGACGTCCCCAAAGACTCTCTGGACGACCTATTCCCCAACGAGGATGAGCAGAGCCCAGGTGCAGATGGACAGTTGGCTCTGGGTGGGGGAAAAGGGTTATGTGAGTCCTGGACTTTGGGACCCAGAGGTTGCTTGTTTCCATTCACAATGTCGCAGCACATTAGAATGTAAAAGGCAGATCTTCCCTGTTACATCTCACACCCCTGATCTCTGCCAGGAGCTGACATCACGGTTCAGAGTGCTGGACCTGCTGCTAGCTCCTCTCTGGGCTGACTCTGAGGGGCAGGCTTGACCATTGCAATACAGGGCTGAGCCAGCAATACTTGCTTAACTTGTGTTGTTAAACACATATGGGAGCCCATCCCACAGATGGGGAAGCTGAGTCTTGGAAGTAAGGAACTTGCTTTTGGTACAGACAGCTTTTGGAACTGTGACTTGACCCACTGTCTATGGGGAAATCCAGACCTATAAACAGGGAAATAAGCATTATGGTTAGTGACTTGCTCAGGGCAAGCTGGCATGTGCCAACACTGCCCAGTGGAAAGATGATCTAATTTCCTGCCCTTGGCCCTGTAGCCCCCAGCCCTGGAGGAGGGGATGTGGCAGCCCAGCATGGGGGCTATGAGATCCCAGCACGGCTTCGCACTCTGCACAACCTGGTGATCCAGTACGCCTCCCAGGGCCGCTACGAAGTGGCTGTTCCCCTCTGCAAGCAGGCGCTAGAGGACCTGGAGAAGACTTCAGGCCACGACCATCCTGATGTGGCCACCATGCTGAACATCTTGGCCCTGGTCTATCGGTGAGGATCCTCTGCCCACGTTTGAAGATCCTTCCTGATAGCACTCTTGGGCTGTGGGGCTAGGCCCTGGGCTCCAAGATCAGTTGAGAGTGGAGAGAGAAGGGACTGGGATCTAGATAGAAATAGCTTTACACATGAGTATCAAAGCTGACATGTGAGGATGCCAGGGTCCTGAGAAGTCAGCGTGACGTTTCTAGGCACCCAGGCTTGAGCAGGGGCTTTGAAAAGTTGAGCTAGAACACAAGGTTGGAAGGCTTTCTGTTGGCAGTGATGTGAGCCTGGGCACTGGGTACTCATTGTGCATGGCTTAGAACTATGGGCATGAGGTAGGACCTCAGCAGGTAGAGTAACCTACTCAGTTTCCCTTGGGCTCTTGGAGGGTGGGCAGCTAGGTTACCCACATGAATCATCCCATATGCCCACTCATCAGTGGCTGAGGGGACTATTGTCCCCTGGAACTGGGCCTTAGGCTGAAGGGCATCTCTGAATATCTACTCCTAGGGACCAAAATAAATACAAGGAGGCAGCCCACCTGCTCAATGATGCTTTGGCCATCCGGGAGAAGACACTGGGCAAGGACCACCCAGCTGTGAGTAAAGGACTAGAGGATGGGAAAGATACCTTTACCCCCTAGTGGTGCCCTAAGTCAGGTGCCTTCCTTCCTTCTCCCACCCCGCAGGTGGCTGCAACATTGAACAACCTGGCCGTTCTGTACGGCAAGCGGGGCAAATATAAGGAGGCAGAGCCGCTGTGCAAGCGGGCACTGGAGATCCGGGAGAAGGTGGGAACAGATAGGGCTGTGGGTGGGGCAAGCAGGGCATCCAGGCAACTCTGAACCCAGCCATTGACTCCTCCATCCCAGGTCCTCGGCAAGTTTCACCCAGATGTGGCCAAGCAGCTCAGCAACTTGGCTTTGCTGTGCCAGAACCAGGGCAAAGCCGAAGAGGTGGAATACTACTACCGGCGGGCCCTGGAGATCTATGCCACACGCCTTGGGCCCGATGACCCCAATGTGGCCAAGACCAAGAACAACCTGGTGCACTGCGGTGGGGCAGGAGGGAGGCTGGGCAGCGGGGAGGGAAGGAGGGAGGAAGGAAGGAGAAAGCTCAGCTCCCTGCATCCTGCTCACCCCTGGCCCTACCCCTCTAGGCTTCTTGCTACCTGAAACAGGGCAAATACCAGGATGCAGAGATCCTGTACAAGGAAATCCTCACCCGTGCTCATGAGAAGGAGTTTGGCTCTGTCAATGGTGAGTCCATGATCATCACATGCCTCCCGCATATCCAGCATGGGGCCCCTCCCCCATGAACACACAGCACTACCACAACCAAGCAGGCCCTCGTGCCTAGAATCTGGCTGGTGGCTCAGCTTCACATGTAACATGCCCTGACTGGCATGTATCTTGGCAACACACTCTAGGGGTCTCCTAGGAAACAGCCTTGTGGTCCTTGGTCATTTCCTCTTGATCTCTCAGAACCTGGCCTGTCATGCAAGCCTCCTCAGAGTCCTGGGCTTACAGGCCTAAGGTGTGTAAGGCTCTGTATTTTGTCTGTGGTCCTACCCTATCTACAAACCACTCAATCTAGGCCTGTTTTCTGTGTCCAGAGGAGGGCCAATGATGTTTTAAGTCTGTTTCTTGTTCATTCAACAAAGCCCAACCCTGGTCCTTCCTGGGTGCTGCTGTGGCCAGCCTATTCTGAAGAAACAAGCTGGTGACATTGTCCTATCTCCTCCTCCAGGGGACAATAAACCCATCTGGATGCATGCAGAGGAACGGGAGGAGAGCAAGGTAATTCAGTGGGCAGGTGTCGGGGGAGGATATGTGGACGGGAGGGAGAGCTTCTCCCACCTCCCACAACCATTATTTCCCCCAGGATAAGCGCCGGGACAGCGGCCCCTATGGGGAATACGGTAGCTGGTACAAGGCCTGTAAGGTTGACAGGTAAAGTCAGCAGACTGCTAGGGTAGATTGGTAATGGGGAAATGCATCTTCCCTGGGGAGGCTCAAGCTCCATACTCCATCATCTCACCCTTGGAACTTCTCCTCTGCCAACTCATTATTCAAGGCCCAGGTCACAGGCCACCTGTCCCAAGAGGGCTTTCTGCACTGGGAACAGCATGATGCTCTCCTGGGTCTCCCAGCTTTTGATCCTGTTGGCAACATCCCATGAGGGCCCAGATTTCCAGTCCTTTAAGGAGACCAGTGGGTCTAGCATATGCTGGGATGTATACAAGGAAGGGGCTGGATTCTAGCTGGCTTGGTGGTTCCTCGGAGCCCAGGGTAGGCTGGCTGTTACACAGTCCCTGGTTCTTGAGGAAACAGAGTTTGAGACCATCCTGACATCCATCCACAGCCCCACAGTCAACACCACCCTGCGCAGCTTGGGGGCCCTGTACCGGCGCCAGGGCAAGCTGGAGGCCGCACATACGTTGGAGGACTGTGCTAGCCGCAGCCGCAAGCAGGTGAGGCTTCATGCCAGAGAGGTGGGCAGGGACCTGTGAGGCCCAGTGTGTGTACCAGTCAGGATCTGACGTTCTCTGGCCCCTCCCCAGGGCCTGGACCCTGCCAGCCAGACCAAGGTGGTAGAACTGCTGAAGGATGGCAGTAGTGGGCGAGGAGACCGCCGGAGCAGCCGGGATGTGGCTGGAGGTTCAGGGCCTCGGTCTGAGTCGGACCCGGAAGAGGCGGGGCCTGCAGCTGAGTGGAGCGGGGTGAGTGTGAGGGCCAGGATGGGCCAGGGGCTAGTGTAGCCAGTGTGGCCTAGAGACAACCTTGCCACCCATAGGATGGCAGCGGCTCATTACGGCGCAGCGGCTCCTTTGGAAAGCTCCGGGATGCCCTAAGACGCAGCAGTGAGATGCTGGTGAAGAAGCTACAAGGGGGTGGTCCCCAGGAACCCCCTAACCCCAGGTGAGCCCCATACCTAGGGTAAGCCTCTCCAGACCCAATGACCCCAGGCCATCTCTTAACCCAAGTGTATCCTTTTGGCCCCACATGACCTCCCCATCTCTCTCTGGTCTACTCCCACCAAGTCTGTCCCCCTTCTCTGCTCTCCCTCCCCAGCCTTCCCCCACTCCCACCCTATCCCACCACGGGCAGTGCTCAGACATTCTTTTCCCTTAGGATGAAGCGGGCCAGTTCCCTCAATTTCCTCAACAAGAGTGTGGAAGAGCCAGTCCAGGTAGGGGTTTCGGGTACATGGGACTAGGTAGCCCAGGCCCAGGCCCCGCCCCAGAGCCCTGGGACACAGATCTACATGTGTTGCTGCTCAGCTTCTGACGTGTGTCATCATCCAGCAATGAGTCTGTCCCCATCCCAGACAGCAGGGAGAAAGAAGAGGGGCCCACAACCCCTGCCCTGGGGTGGAATTATAATCTGTCAATGCCAACACAGTAACTGTGGAGGTGGCAGGAGTGAGGTCCACGCAGTGGCCTCCGGCCATTTCTGCCTCTGCTCAGTGCCTGGGACTCCCATTTGGCTTCCATGAGGGCCTTGCTGGGACTGAGGTAGGGAGCACAGTTGCAGCAGCATGGAGCTGAGACTCCTGCCCTCTGCCCACAGCCTGGAGGCACAGGTCTTTCTGACAGCCGCACCCTCAGCTCCAGCTCCATGGACCTCTCCCGACGAAGCTCCCTTGTGGGCTAATCCTGAAGGGGCAGCCAGAGTCTACCCAGCACCCCCGACCCCAGCCCTGCGCATGGGCCTGCTGCTTGTCCCACCGTCTCTCCCAAGGACCCGTTTTTTCTGTTCAATCTCAGGGTAACCTCCTCCCTTGTCATCTCAGCCTGGGCCCTGGAGGCCGAGCCTGCCCGCTCCAGCTCTACCCCTTATTTATTCTTTCAGCAGGGCCCCCTCTTTCCTGATTGGGGGTCAGTGGTAGTGGCTGACTGGAGTCTCCCAAGATAGAGACTCCCCCTTCATGGCCTGCTTACCCCAGACCCCAGAGTCAAGAACACTAAGCATCTGCCCTCCGTCGACACTCCTGCCTCCCTCCCTTCCGGCCGTTGCTTCTGTATATAGAGAAATAAGTTATTGGCCGTGTCCCTTCCCTCAGTCCACGGTACTGTCCGGGCCTCCATTAGCCCCGTCCTTCCCCAGTGGTACCACCCAGGCCTTAATCACTCCCATTCCACGCGGTGGTATCTCCTAGGCTCAATATTCTCAGAGCGGCACCTCCCCTAAGGGTGCTCCTGGCCTCTGAGAGATGTGCCCCACCCCGCCTGGTTCTGTGCCCTAGGACGGAGGGCCTTGGCCCGTCCCCGCCGGGCCCTGCGCTGCACCCCGGCCATATGCACTGCCCCTCCTGCCCAGGCACGGCCTGGCCCCGCCCAGGGCGCCACGTCGAGCCATCCCCACGCCTCCCATGCCCGCAGCTTCTCGCCAGGGCCAGCGACGGCCCCCAGTGGCAAGAGGGGCTGCCCCAGAGGTGGGGTGAGGCGGTCGCTCTCTATTTTCAGATGTTGCTGTAGAAATAAAGACGGTTTGAATCTGAGCCAGGCTGGTTTTGAAGCGGAGGCCCAAGGCCCCCAGCGTCTCCAGGTTGGGGTGGGGTTGCACCAAGTCCTGCCCCGCGATGCTGGAACCAGTTCTGTACCCCTGCCTGGGAAGTGTTTAGAGGCTCCAGCAGTGCGGAATTTCTCCTAAAGCTTTCGCTTTTGGGGTTCAAGAGTGCGGCCTTTGATGAGCTCGGCCCCATAATACAAGACGAGCTTAGTGGTGATAGCCTGGAGCTGCGGGTGACTTAAAGGTGCCCAGCACAGGAATAACCCTGGAGAAGTGAACTTTTACTGGTCCTGCTAAAACACACACACCTCAGTGCTCACAACCTCGAGCCGACGGGGCGGGATGGCAGCCTCTGTTCGAGAAGTGGAAAGTGCCGAGCCCGGTGTGAAATTGAACTCGCACCCGCCAGGGTCTCGGGGCCGGGGTGGGAGCGCTCGGAGCGCAGTCCCTTCAGTCCGCTCTGAGATTGGACTACAGGCCCCAGAAGGCAGCGCGCCGCCAGCGTTCGGGCGCGTGACCGCTCGTGCTCTTCGGGCTGCGCCTGCGCAGGCGGGAGTAAGTTGGACACGAGAGAGAGACTACAAGTTCCGGGAGGCAGCGCGGCACGACCCAAGTCGAGAGTGTTTACGCCTGCGCGATGCGGGCGGGGCGTCTAAGGCGGAGCGGCCACCATCTTGGAACGGGAGGCGGAGCAGAGCTGACTGGGAGCCACCGAGCGGGCCGCCGCCGCCGCCATGAACCCCGAATAGTGAGTGAGCCCCGCCCGCGCCGTCCGGCGCAGCCTCGATCCCGAGTGCGGGGCTGCACGCTTACTGGGATTGTCTGGCCTGGGTCAGAACTGCGCGGCGTCCCCCCCCCACATCCGGGTCTCTCTTCCGCTGACTCCCCCCCTCACATCCGGGTTCTGCCCCTCCTCCTGGGGGGTCCTTAGGACCCCAGCTCGACACCCCTACTCCTGGCGCCCAGGGCCTAGAGGCGGCAACCCCGAAGGGCAGCACTTGAAGCCCGAGATACTGGTCTAGTAGGCCTCGGTCGGGCGACCAGCAGCTCCACTGTCCCCAGGCCTCAGTTTCCCCCGCTGCTTGACCCATGAACCCAGTGATTTTTGAGCCTCTCAACAGTTTCTGGTTTCGAGTTAAGACTCAGGCACTTTCGGTTGGGTCGTGAACTTCTCTGCCCTTGCTTTTCTTCTGGACCCAGTTCTCTGAACTGGCAGGGTCTGGCACAGACCCTCAAAGACCCCAGGAATCCCTTGGTTCGCATCCCCTGCAGGTCCTCTTCTCCAGGGCTGCCGCCTTGCCCTTGCCTGGGTCGCTCTTCTCTCCGGAGGTCTGTCCTTTCCTGCCCTCTTACCTTCACTCAGGCCTCCAGCGCCACCTTCTCACCCTTTTCCCTCCGCTGTCACATTGCCAGAGAACTTTAGGTGAATGTAGAATTTGCTTTCCCCATGCAGGACGATTCTGTGGTCCTCAATGCTTCACTTCTTGGTAGCTCGCTGCGGGTTATGGCCCTCATCTCATGCCTTGCATTTCTACTTTTCCCCAAGTATCAGTTGCCTTCTTCCTCTTCTGCCACTTCCTTTTTCTTCTCCAGCTCCACACCTCAGATTCCCTTGGAGAAGAGGGAACCTCAGCAGGATTGGAAGAGGAAATAAAGGAAGCAGTAGGCTCTTATAGTTTTCAGCCGGTAACACGGCAGGTCACTTCCCTTCTCTAACTCCTGGTTTCCTCATTAGTTGGAAATCATAACATTGCCTTCACCGAACTGTTGTGAGGGTTTAATGTGAGGATGCATTTGAAGAACTTAGCACAGAGCCAAATACAGCTCAGTATTAAGTGCTATTACTGCCACACATGGATTGCCCCTGGTTGGTGAGTTTATAACAAGCTCTTCAGGTAGATTTTTCTCTAGTTTTGGGCTGGGCCCTAGAATCCATTTCTGGGCCTTCCCCTACACACACTACAAGGCAGAGTGTGGCTTTCCAAAATAACACCTCCTGAATAGAATCGTGGAATCTTACCAGGAAGCAGGGAAGGATATCCGGTTTTGCTGCCTCATTGATTGTGACTCTGGGCAAGTCAGTTCCCTCTCTGTGCCTCAGTTTCCTTCTCCATCGAGTGGGAATGCACACTCAGCAGACTGAGGACCCTGTGGGCTAGCTTGTTGCAAGTGAGGGGCTCCACCCTCTCTTTTCAGGACTGGTGGATGTGGTGAGCACCAAACCAAAGCATGACTCAGTGTGGGGGGATGCTGTAGTGGTAACCCCAAGATGATGAGGTGGGCTCCCTCCCTTCCTTTATATTTCCCATCCTCTCTTTCCAGTGACTACCTGTTTAAGCTGCTTTTGATTGGTGACTCGGGTGTAGGCAAGTCATGCCTGCTCCTTCGGTTTGCTGTGAGTAAGAAGCCCCCTCCCTGTACCATCCTTCTGAGGTCTTGGCTTGCTGCTGGGAGGGAGAAAGGGGCCCCTGGGGGCATAGTAGGTACAAGACCTGGGGGCGAAGCAGGAGGTTTCAGGACCTGCCAGAACAAGGGCACAGGGCTGGCAAGTTGGGGTGCTCAGAGCTGGGCCTTGGCGGTTAGGAGCCCATCTAGGGCAGGAGGCTGGGGGGGGGGGAGGCTTTCCAAATGGGCCTTAGGCCCGTTCATTCAGGCCACTTCACTGGTGCCAAACTTTCAGGATGATACATACACAGAGAGCTACATCAGCACCATCGGGGTGGACTTCAAGATCCGAACCATTGAGCTGGATGGCAAAACCATCAAACTTCAGATTGTGAGTGTGGCTTTCCTCTAGATGTTGAGACAGAAATATGTGCATTGAGAAGATGGGGCTTATATTGGGCTGACCTGCCCCTCTCCATACTGTCTTGTAGTGGGACACAGCTGGTCAGGAACGGTTCCGGACCATCACTTCTAGCTACTACCGGGGAGCTCATGGCATCATCGTGGTGTATGACGTCACTGACCAGGTATTCCTGAACTTCTCCTCTCCATCTTTGCCTCTTCAACCTTGAGGGGTGGTTGTTGTAGTAATTGTTGTTGTTGTGGTTGTTGTTGTACCAGTACTGGGGCTTAAACTCCAGGCCTAGTGGTCTCACTCAGCATTTTTCGCTCAGGGCTTGTGTTCTACCACTTGAACCACCTCTCCACTTCCAGCTTTTTGGTGGTTAATTGGAGATAAGAGTCTGAATGATTTGTCTAGGCTGGCTTCAAATTTCCATTCTCTGATCTCAATCTCCTGACTAGCTACCATTATAGGTATGAGCCCACAGTATACGGATAACAGGGGATTTTGTTTGTTTGTGCAGATATTAGAGTTTGGACTCAGGACCTGGGCTCTGTCCTGTAGCTTTTTTGCTCAAGGCTAGTGCTCAACCGCTTGAATCACAGCTTCTAGTTTTTTTGATGGTTAATTGGAGAGAAGCTCCCAGGCCCTGAGTTCAAGCCCCAGGACCAGCTCAAAATAAATAAGCACTGTGTTTTGTTGGGCTTTAGTTAGAGGTTAACCTCTGTGAGGGTGGCTTCCTGTGTGAAGACATTGAAGGAAGCAAGCAACTAGAAGGCGTTAGACAAGAAAGGAAGGGAGCACTGAGCCCAGTGTGAGCAGAGGTCGCTGCAGTGTCTTCAATCACATGTTCCTGGCAGTAGTGGCATCAGAAACCATCCTTCCAGGGGCTGGGCTGGGAAGGTGGCTCAGTGGTAGAGTGCTTGCCTTGCATGCATGAGGCCCTGAGTTCGATTCCTCAGCACCACATAAGCAAAAAGAAAAAAAGCCAAAAGTGGCGCTGTGGCTCAAGTGGTAGAGCGCTAGCCTTGAGCTGAAGAGCTGAGGGACAGTGCCCAGTCCCACAGTTCAGGCCCCCGACCGGACCCAAAAAAAAAACAGCAGAAAAGAAACTATCCTTCCAGTCAGGCGCCGGTGACTCACGCCTGTAATCCTAGCTACTCAGGAGGCTGAGATCTGAGGGTCATGGTTCAAAGCCAGCCTGGCAGGAAAGTCTGTGGGACTCCTATCTCCAGTAAACCACCAGAAAACCAGAAGTGGTGCGGTGGCTCAAGTGGTAGAGTGCTGGCCTTGAGCTGAAGAGCTCAGGAACAGTGCCCAGGCCCAGAGTTCAAGACCCAGACTGACCAAAAAACAAAAACCATGAAACCATTCTTCCGTATTTTAAGCTTGCAGAATTCATAATGCCTGCCTTTCTTTCCTCTTCTTTTTTTTTTTTGGTGGTGGTGGTACTGGGGTTGGAGTTTATGGCCTCACACTTGCTAGGCAGGCAGCCTGCTGCTGAGCTGCTCTCTGCCAGCCCCAGCACCACCCTTTTTTGTGCCAGCCCTAGGGCCTGAACTCAGAACCTGGGTTCTGTCACTGAGCTTTTTTTTTTTGCTCAATGCTAGTCCTCTACACTTGAGCCACAGCTCCACTTTCGGAGTCTCACAGACTTTCCTATCTGAGCTGGCTTTGAGCTGCATTCCTCAGATCTCAGCTTCCTAAGTAGCTAGGATTATAGGCATGAGCTACAGGTGCCCAGCTTGCCTGGCCCCAGCCCTTCCTCCCCCCACATCTACCCTGTTGTGGTCTGGTGCCCTGGTGGTGGTCATAGAACTTGAACTCAGGTCCTGAGGTACTGTCCTGGAGCTCTTTTTTGCTCAAGGCTAGCACTCTACCCGAGACACAGCTCTGCTTCCACTTTTCTGGTAGACAATTGGAGATAAGTGTCTCATGGACTTTCCTGCCAGGGCTGGCTTTCAACAGCCAAACTTAGTTCTCAGCCTCCTGAACAACTAGGATTATAGGTATGAGCCATCAGCATCTATGTATATCTTCATAATCTTAACCCAGTGAACCAAATGGTGGTGCCCGTGCTTCCTAGATCAAAAACTTGGAGAGGTGTTATGTAACATCTCTCCATCAGGAATGGCCAGAGTTAGAGCCCAGTGTTCCTGGCTTTAATCAACTCCTTCTCTGCCCTTGGACACCTCCCCTGAGCTTCAGACCATCTGCAGAACTCAGCTGTTCCAGCCTGGGCTCACCATCTCTCCCCACATTGTTTCCTACATCCTTATCTTTGTAATGTCATCCCTATGGGCCTGACCAGAAACTTCCCTTCCCCGTCAGCCTCAAGGCCCCTTTATTCTGCCCCATCATCTCAAATCTGTCCCCTCATAATAGCAGTGATGAGGATAATAGTAGCTCTTGCTAATTAAGCACTTGTTTTGAGACAGGCCTGCATTCATTCTCTTGCACAAACAAAAACCCTGCCAGAGGTGCTGCTTTATATAATAGAGAAAACTAAAACTCAGAGGGGTCAGGTGACATGCCTAAAGTTACACAGTAATTGACTGAGCCTGGGTTCTACCCAGCAGAGCCTGACTCCAAGCCTGTTTGCTTCCCGGCCACATTCTCTTTTTTTTTTTTTTTTGTGGGGGGCCTGAACTCTGGGCCTGAGCGCTGTCCCTCAGCTCTTCAGCTCAAGGCTAGCGCTCTACCACTTGAGCCACAGCGCCACTTCCGGCTTTTTTCTTTTTACTTATGTGGTGCTGAGGAATCGAACCCAGGGCCTCATGCATGCAAGGCAAGCGTTCTACCACTGAGCCACCTTCCCAGGCCCCCCCCCCCCCCCCCCCCCGCCACAATCTCTAGCACGATCTAGATTATTCCAACCATCTCCCAGTTGGTCGCCATTTTCTTGCTGGTCTGCTTTCATACTGTGCCCAGAAAAATCTTTCCAGACCACAAGTGTTAGTCTGCTGTTCATCGTCAGAGAACCGCTGCTCTTCCAGTCTTAGCCAAGCTGAGATCCTTTGAGTTCTGGCCTTCCCACCTCAGGATCTGCATCTGGGCAGCAGCCCCCTTCTCCCACTCCCCACTCCTCTTGCTTGCCAGCTGTCTCCTCCCCTGCTACCAGTCCTGGCCCTCCCGGGCTTCTAACCATCTTACTGAAGTGTGTGTTTTGCTCTGTTCCTCAACTGCTCCCTGAATGCCTTGGGGCAGGCCCTGGTTTGAGTTCCCTGTTTTGCACCCAACACAGAGCCCGGCTCGGGGCACGACAGGAAGTATACATTAGAGCCCAGTGTGCCTCGGAGAAGGAAAAGCAGCTGGAGCTTGAGTGCCGGCCTTTGTGTGGGATGTGGAGCTGCTGGCAGCATCTGTGCCCCATTGAGGAGACGGCTGGTGCCAGAAGTAGAGTGAATGTTCAGCGCTGTGCCTGGGACGCCCATTTCCTAACAGTCGCTGTGAAGACCCTCTTCCTCCCATGGGACTTAAAGGGATGGCGTGGCAGGGAGTTGAGCCTAGCCTGGGTGAAGCCTTCGGTTCAGTCCTAGCATTGGAACAAAACAAAAACCTCGGGGCTGGGAAGGTGGCTCAGTGGTAGAGTGCTTGCCTTGAGCTGAATAACTCAGGTATAGCACCAGGCCCAGGGTTCAAGTCCCACAACCAACAAGGAAAAAAAAGACCCTCAAAACCCTTAAAGGGATACAAGACCACTGTGGGGCTTGGTGATTCTCACTGACCTGCATGTTCCTCTGCCTTTGCCCCCTTTTGTCTGCCCTTCACCTATGTCTTATATGTGGTTAGGCCCTAGAGTTAGGCTCCAGGAAGGACAGCAGCAGAACTGGATACCCTGCAGGCTGAGGCAGCTGTGTAATGTTGGAGCTGCTGGCCGGCAGCTGGGCTGGGCTGGGCATTTTATTTTTTTTATTTTTTTGGTGCCAGGCTTGAACTTGGAGCCTGGGCTCTGTCCCTGAGCTTTTGTACTCAAGGCTAGAGTTCTACCACTTGAGCCACAGCTCTACTTCTGGCTTTTTTGGTAGTTAATTGGAGATAAGAGTTTTATGGGCTTTCCTGCCTGGGCTGGTTTAGAATTATGACCCTTAGATTTGAGCCTCCTGAGTAACTGGGATTATAGACATGCACCATCAGTGCCTGGCTTGATCTTTTGTCTTGATTTTGTGCCAGTCCTGATCTTGAACTCAGGGACTGGGCTCTGTTGGTGTGTGTGTGTGTGTGTGTTTGGCTTAGTTTTGTGCCAGTACTGATCTTGAACTCAGGGACTGGGCTCTGTTGGTGTGTGTGTGTGTGTCAGTCGTGGGGCTTGAACTCAAGGCGTGTGTGTGTGTGTGTGTGAGTCGTGGGGCTTGAACTCAAGGCGTGTGTGTGTGTGTGTGTCAGTCATGGGGCTTGAACTCAAGGCATGGGCCCTGTCCCTGAGTGTGTGTGTGTGTGTCAGTCGTGGGGCTTGAACTCAAGGCATGGGCCCTGTCCCTGAGCTTTTTTGCATAAGACTAATGCTTTACCACTTAAGCTATAGCATCACTTCCACTTTTTTGGTGGTTAATTAGAGATAAGCGTCTCACAGACCCTCCTGCCCAGGATGGCTTCAAATTGTGATCCTCAGATCTCAGCCTCTTGAGTAGCTAGAATTACAGGCATGAGCCACAAGCACCTAGCTCCCTTAGCTTTTTTGTTCCAGGCTGATACTTTACCACTTGAACCACAGCTCTAACTTTTGGCATTTTGATGGTAAAAGACAGAATCTGATAGACTTTCCTTGCTTGGGCTGGCTTTGAACCATGATTCTTAGATCTCAGCCTCCTGAGTAGCTAGGATTACAGGCGTGAGCCATGGTACCCAACTTTGGGGGCTAGGTTTCTTTGATCCCATAAGGAGAAAAGGCTAAAGGCGAGGGTTTCCTCAGATCTCCAAGCTCAGTGCCTCTCCCTCAAAGGAGAGGCCTGTTCTTTGAGGCCCTGGGGAGGGAACGGGGAGACTAAAGTTGGAAGCTCAGTAACTCTGGACTCTGGGCCCTCCAGGAATCCTACGCCAATGTGAAGCAGTGGCTGCAGGAGATAGACCGCTATGCCAGCGAGAATGTCAATAAGCTCCTGGTGGGCAACAAGAGCGACCTCACCACCAAGAAGGTTGTGGATAACACCACAGCCAAGGTGAGCAGGCTTGTCCAGGCTGAGGGGCTGGGTGGGGCAGGGGCTGCTATCCTTCATCTTCCTCTCTCTCCCTCTTTCTCCTCTCCCTTGGGCAGGAGTTTGCAGACTCTCTGGGCATCCCCTTCCTGGAGACAAGTGCCAAGAATGCCACCAACGTGGAGCAGGCGTTCATGACCATGGCTGCTGAGATCAAAAAGCGGATGGGGCCAGGGGCGGCTTCCGGGGGTGAACGGCCCAACCTCAAGATCGACAGCACCCCTGTGAAACCAGCTAGCGGTGGCTGTTGCTAGGAGGGGCCCTTGAGATGGGACAGGAGGGAATGCCTTCTCCAGATGATGCCCCTAGAGGGCGCAGGAGATGCCTCTCCCTCTCCTGGGGCATTTGAGTCTGTGGCTTTGGGGCGTCCTGGGCTCCCCATCTCCCTTTGGCCCATCTGCCTGCTGCCCTGAGCCCCGGTTCTGTCAGGGCCCCCAAGGGAGAACATACAGGACCTGTGGCTGGGGTAGGCACGGGGGGCTGCTCTGCTGCTGCCTCTAGGTACCTTGAAAAGATGCCCCTCCACGCACCTTCCTTTGGAATGAGGGCTCCACTGTCTGTCTCCCCACCTCTATGTATGCTGCACTGGGTTTCTCTCCTTCCTCCCCTCTCCCTTTCCCAGGAGCTGAGGGCCTGCCTGGCCTTTGCCGCCCCTGGCTGCATTCAGTGGCCACGGTGTCCAGGAGCCCAAACCCAGGGTCCTGGGCCAGACCTCAGGATGGGCATGGTGGCTGAGGGGCCCCAGCAGCCCAGCCTTTCCCCAGCCTCCCTCCCCCTTCCCACACTCACAGCCGTCCAGCTGCGGTGGGGTCTGAGCACAGCCAGGGTAGGTGGGCGGGCAGCCTGGCTGGGCCTGTGTCTCTGTCACACAGGGAGCCTGCTCCTGCCTCCCCCTGCCCTGCCAGAGCCAGGCCCGTGCGAGGCCTGCCCACCGTGCCCCTTTGTCCCCACGGCAGGCGGAGGCGGAAGGCCCACCGTGCCAGAGGCCTGGCACCAGCCTTAACCCTCACTTTGCCAGCATCGCCCTTTCCCTGAGGCGGCACCTCTGGCTTACTCCTTCATCCTGAGAGCCTAGGGCCAGAGCCGCCTCTCCACCGCTACTTCTCTGGGGGAGCGGGGCTGCCTCCCAGCATTGGGGGTGTCTCTGCCATCTCTTCCTGCCCAGGATCCCGGCCTCTGCCCTTCAGCACAGCTGCTTCTTGCAGAAAACCAACCGTTGGTCTCTAAGAAGCCATGTCCCTCAGTGCTGTCTCTTGCCTGTCCCCCCACGCCTGCCCTGTCCTCCCCTCCAGCTTGTATTTAAATCCCCCGGGGCTGCCCCTGAGGGGCCCCTTCTCCCCTCTGGTGTCATGTCAGGCATTTTGCAAGGAAAAGCCACTTGGGGAAAGACGGAAAAGGATTAAAAATAATAAATTTCCACTGGCCCTTGGACGAGCCAAGGGTTTTTGCAAGGAAGTGTGCTGGCCGAGTGTGGTCTGTGGTCCGGGTCTGTCTTGGAGGGGGGGGACCGGACTCCACGCACGGGGGTCCTGGCTTGGGCTGTGTCCCGAAGTTGCAGGTGAAAGCCCTTGACCCACATACCGGGCCGGGGAGCGGGAGGCCTGCGCGATGGCGCGTCCCCCAGGGCCCAGCACGGATCTGTCAGAGGGAGGCGGGCACGCGGCCATCAGCGAGAACCCGGGGAGCCGCTGCCAGCACCCCCGGGCCCGGCGCAGGGCACGCGCTTGGCAGGAGTCCGCGGAGGCCCTCGGACCTGGCCGTCTCAGCTCCCGTGGCCTCCAGCCAGGTGCCCCGACC